AGATGAATGTGGCAAAATAAAGCTAATTTTGGAAACCAAGAGAAAAAGGTTGCACAGAGGAAACGTACAGAAAGTCTTTCGCGTTTGAAAACACAACAAAGGCAAATGACATCTCCCAAAAAGAAAGGTAGAAAGTATTCATGTAGCTGGAGGCTTTACGTGAACTGAAAAAAAAAAAAAAAGAGTCAAGTGCTTATAAGGAACTGATAGAGGAGAAGGAGAGGAGGTTTTTTTTGGAGAGGAATGAAAAATAGAGAGTGCAGTAGCCAAGAAGGGGGAAGGCTCCACTGGTTTTTACTATTAATTTTTTTCTTCACAAGTGATTTCCTTCGATTCATCATCAAGAATGGGATATAAAACGCACGCAAAGGAGATATGAGACCCGACCCTGAACAAAAGTTGTAGCAGTACAACTTCTTCTCAATCACGAAAGTTAAGTAAATACATTTGAGAGATGAGACCCGACTCTGAACAAAAGTTGTAGCAGTACAACTTCTTCTCAATCAAGAAAGGTAAGATCTAAGTATTCATTGCGTTTTTTCTGAATATTTTATTGTTTCTTGTTTTATTATAGCATAGGTTCAGTTTAGCCTTTTCACTCTAAAACTTAGAGCAACTCCAACATGAATTTCTTACCATTAGAGAAGGTTGAGGTGGCAGCAAGAGTTTCTTGCAGAGGAGAGAGGGTTGCTTCACTAAGCAACGGTTGCTTACTTTTATAAATTGAAGGAGGTGCGGCGGAGGCGTGCGATTGGACAGTGGCGACGTGCGGGTGGACAGCGGAGGCGCGCCGGTGGACAGCGGAGGTGGACGTTCTGCCACAAGTGGACAGTGGAGGCGCGTCGGTGGACAGCAGAGGTGGACGTTCTGCCGCGGGTGGACAGCAGAGGCGCGTCGGTGAACGATCTGGCTGGACCTGCACGCAGCGGCGGCGGCAGTGGCAGCGGCGGTGGTAGACAGTGTTTGAAGGTGGAGTTGGAAGAAAAGGAAAGGGGGAGAAAAAATGAAAAAAACCTTTACGAAGAGAAGAAGAAGAAGAAGAGCGTTTAAAGAAATAAGAAATAAGAATTAAAAATTAAAAAATTAATTTCATATAATGTTTATGTATTTATTATTGCTTTATTTTATTTTTAATATCAACTTATTGTGTATTTTTTTCTCATAATTTATTTTCTTTTATTGTAGTGCAAGTGTCCTTTTTAATAAAAATTTTAATTTGGTTCATAAATGATTTGAAAAAAAATTCTAAAAGTTGAATTTCTCAAAGTTTCTTACCATTAAAGTAAATTTCTGTTTGAGTTGCTTAATGCTGACATGGCACACTGAAGACCACTTTTTTCAGTTACCAATGCATGAAGCAACTCAAATGAGTTGCTTTCATTGGAGATGCCCTTAGATATAAGCTTGCACAACACTCACGTCAACGAAAATGAATTGGTAATATAAAGCCTGCACATCATTCATGTCAATGAAAATGAGTTGGCAAAACATACTAGATGACAAGGCGATATAAAGAATTAAATAAAGAAAGAATGGTAAGTAATATTAAGTTTTAGGAAATCTGTACATTCTTACGTGATATCGATTTGATCATTTTTTTTAATATCCTTTTTTTATAGTATGTTTAATAACCGATTAAATTTACTTTATTAAACAAATTAATTAGACATGTATATTTAATCATAGATCAAATTTACTTTATAGATTAATTAAACATGATGTCTTCTTAATCGTGAAATCTTAGAGTACAAATTGTGATAACTTTGCAATTCTAAGTTCTCTTCTAAAAAATGAAATATTTCATAATTGTTAATTTAGACTAAGTCATTATAATAAAAATAGTGTTATATACAATGAAAACCTAATAATTTTATTCACTATAAGAAAGGAAGGACTTTTCTAACATTTTGTTTTAAAGATAATGGATTAATTAGATGAAACATTTATTTAATCCTAAAGGTTTGGAAGCAATCAGTGACAGTTTGATAGTCCTAAAACTCCTCTTTAAAACTTTAAAACATATCAAACTATTTTTAAAAAAGAAAATTAGCTAAGGAGTACACCTTAGTTGGTTCCACCACCCTTAAGACACAATTGTGACAGTTCAAAGATCCTACAACTACAATAATAATAATAATAATAATAATAATAATAATAATAATAATAATAACAATAATAATTAACGTAATATTCTCTTATCAACATTTATATTAATAATATCTATCATTTTAAAAAGGAATTATTTGAATGTAACATTCTTTGATTCTAGAGCTTAAAGGTGCAAGTTGTGACAATTTGTCATCTTAAAGTCTTTATTTAAATTCAAAGTATGATTAAATATCAAAAATATATTTTTACAATATTCAATATAAATATTTGAAGTCATTATATCAAAAAATTTATTAGAGGAATGGTTAATTAGGTGTGACATCTTTTTAACCTTTGAATTTAAAATACAAGTTGTGATGACTTGATATCTTTAAATTTTTCTTCTCCAAAACAAAAATATCCAACCAAAAATTCTTTTAAGACAATAATATCTATAACAATAATTATAATTATAATTTTATTGAGTTGACTTTGGTGTACACCTCAGTCGATTTTATATTTTAGGGTGAATGAGTTAAGACAGTTCAGGAATCATAAATTAAATAAAAATAAATTTTAATTAAAAAATATCAACACATAAATATTTTGTACAAAGAATTACGTGACTCTGATTCTTTATTATACATGGAGATACGTAGGAGCAAGAAATAAATATTGTCGAGCTAAAAAATAAAAAAATGATATTATCTTCCTTTTTATATAACAACAGTAATTTTAACTTTTTTAAAAATGTATTAGTTAAATTAGTTAAATAAAATACATTTGATCATTATAGTTAATTAATTTAGGGTGAGCTAAATATTTTATAAGTTATAAATAATTTGTTTAATTAATAAAAGGTAATCGTCTTAGGACGAATGTTGTGAGGTGCTAATACTTTCTTTACATGTAATCGACTCCCAAACTTAAAAATTTAATTTTTGTAGATCATTTTTTATTTGGTAATTTTTCTAATATTTTTTTTCCATAAAAATAAACATTAGTGACGACTTCATTATTTTTAAATTTTATATTCGTCATCCCGTTACGATATCGGTTGCAACAATAAATAACCAAAATGAATCTAATAAAATAAATAAGATAAAAAAAAAACCAAAAATATAATTTATTCTATAACCATTCATTAAAAAAAATGTGTTTTTATGGTACTACTTTTCATCGTGAATATAACGTGGTATTTTCATATCATTTATATATATA